AAACTCAGCAGTGGCCGGAGGATTGGAAAAGATCAGTCTACATCCCAATCCCAAAGAATATATTGATAGGCTTGAGCACTGGGCTGAAAACAATAGAAGGAAATTTAAAAGGCATAAGTGCAAAGTTCTACAACTGGTGAGAAAAACCAAATGCAGAGTTACAGGATACTTGGCTAAGTTCTACTACAAGTTAGAAGAATCTTGGAATTCTTCTAGATCAAAGCTGAATATGAGTCAACAGTGCCCTGTGGTTGCAAAAAAGGCAGATGCATTAACAGTAGCATATGGTTTATCTACAGTACACTACTCATTAACCCTACGATATGCATAGGAGTTTTTTGCTGCAATTTCGAAGTCATGCACTGCTCCTCTTCGGAAAACTTTTAATATGTTTTAAGCTGTGTTCTAGGGAGCTACACAGGCTTTTCAGATCATTTCATTTGAAGCTTACACACTCTGCCCTCATGCTGGCCATTTGTCCAAATTGCTGTAGTGAGGTGAGGGAGGATGAGAGAGGGCTAAGCTGCTTGTCCTTTTTAAACACCTAGTAGCTTCAGTTCCTTTAAGAAGGCTCCAGCAGTTCTCATTTGTACCCACAAAATATGACAGAGAAATGAAGGGTGTCTGGCTTTACAGAGGTGCAAAAACACTGACCCAAGCATGGATCCTCCTTAATCTGTATAATTTTAACATGCAATCATCCCCAAACCAATATCCAATCTGTGGGCAGAGATGATTCCTATGATTGAGATTGTTTTGGGGAGGATCCTACATACAAATCATGTGGATCCACAAGGATCTGTGCTTCTGATCCATTTTTTTGCCCAAAGGCAGGTCTTCACTCCTCCAACCCTGTGCTGGACTGATCTGTGTCCTCCCTTTCCTTTCAGGCTCTCTGCACCTGCCTGTCCTTTCTTCCTACCCCCCCCCGCTCTTGCTGCTGCTGTCTCTTCCCTACCTCAGCTGGTTACCCCAAGAGGTGGGCGTGATTGTGCAGGAGGTGCGAGTGAGGGGACAGGGAGGCAAGGAGCAGGGTGGCAATCAGGCAGGGAGCAATTTCTGGCAGGAGAGGAAGGCGCATTGGGCAATTCAAGGCATTAGACCATGATTCAGCCCCAAGCTAAAATAAACAACTCTGCCAGGAGGTGGTTAAATGATGTGCTTCCAAACAGAGGAAACCAAGTATGGGGGTGGGGGAACCAGATCCACAGTACATCCTGTGATCACCTTAACAGTGATACAGGACTAATATGGACACTTTCAGTTTTTAACTCAATATTCTGAAGATCCTTATTCCCTCCCAAATTGCAACGTTTCTTATTAAGTTAAATATCCTTTCCCTTTTATTAATACAAATTCTACTGAAAGAGGAGAATTATCAGAAGGCTCTTAAAGCAATATGGGAAATAGATATGGAAGAATAAGAGATGGTGTGGAAGAATATATGGGAGTAAAAGAATTTTCAAGAGTCTGTGAGAATAAAGAAATATTATTATGAATTAATTTCGAGATGGTATCTAACACCAGTAAAATTGCATCATGTAGATAATAAATATTCCAAACTATATTGGAGATGTGATCAATACGTATGTGGTGGGAATGCAAAATAATACTGGAATGTTGGAAGCTGGTTTTTAAGGAAATGAGTGCTATTGCCTATTTTAGAAAAGGTGCAATGTGGAAGGCTAAAGAACAAACTAATTTCTACTTTATTAAACAGCAGCAAAATTAAAACAGAAAAAAGGAAAGTAAAACATGATTTTCAGATAACTCAGTGGCATAAGATTTGGATTATAGCTATTAAGGAAAAACTAACAATTGCTTCTAATCTTGTAGTTTTAATTAAACTGTTTCATGTTCTTAAGATGCATGCTTTATTTTTTGTTACTGGCTCTGAATCCCGTTTCTGGGGAAAAGGTGGGAATACTACTTAATAAATTAATTATGTATTTTTATAAGAACAGGAAAACATCCAGTGAGCAATGGAAGAGCTAAGACAGATGGCTGGGGTTACAAACAATGCATCAAAATAATAACAAAGACACTTTCCAACTAACTGTAAATTACCTAATTGCAAATCAGGGTTGAGACATGACCTGTCCTGCAAAGCTTATGATGAGAAAGATAGTCATCATCAGTCAGCTATTCTGGTCCTAAACGATTCTGGATTTTAAAAGTGATGATGACTGTTAGTGCTTTGAGCGTCAGAAGTGAATACCAGCGGCGTGAAATTTGTATTTTCACTCAGGCACACAAACTCCGCTTCCCGTTGGAAGTTTGCCCAAGTGTTTTCGACCGAAGGGAATGCCTGCCTGCTCGTTGGGGGGAAAAAAAGCCGAGTCCAGCAATCAAATCTTGAGGTACGAGATCTAGAATCACAATCCAGTAATCACACATCCGTATCTACATTTTCTCTCCTTGGGATAGGTAGGTAAATTCCAACCCACCCAAGCCCGGACCGGTCCTTCTGGGCAAGTCGCGGGACGGAGCTTTTGAGACCTGCTCGTCTGGCGCCGGTCATTTCCTCTTCTCCCTTCACCGGTTGAATTCCTGCCTGTCAGGGGTCTGTGCGTGCGTGCTGTTAGGGGGTGTGTGTGTGTGTCCCTGCATCCTAAGCCGCCTTAGATTCTTTTCAAGGGAAAAGGTGAGGTAAAAATATTTTTAACGACAACAACAACAACAACAGCCCCCTCCCGCCGCTCCTCCT